GTCCTGCGCGAATATAAGGAGCATTTCTGCGAATCTTTCCCTGATTGGAAAAGGTCACATTGATCCGATTTCGGATTGTCTCAATGTCGACGCCCTCTGGCAGGGCAACCTTCTTCCGGGTGGCGAAGCGCATGGTGATGTGCCTTCCCCTAGCATTCGGGGTTGGCGACGAGCGCGGCGGTGGTGGTACCGAGTTCAGTGGGTCCGGGGGTCCCATTGGTACCCGTTGGTATTCCGGTCATGCCTGAGCCGTACCTATCTTGACACTGGCCAGTGCTGCCGGCCCAGATTGAGCCGTTGTGGCAACAGGTGTCGTAACTTTGGGGGCTGATTCCTGTTTATCAGCCTTCCCCTGGGTCTTGGCCGGGGTTGCCGCCTCCCTTTCATCACCAGATTCTCTGGCAGCCTTTCTTCTCCTTCTAGCAGCACCACTCAGGCATCTGCCCCGCTTCCTTCGTTCTTTCTTCTTATCTTCTTCCTCTTCCTCTTCCTCTTCCCAGTGAACAGTCTTGCCTTCACCTCCCCGGGCTACTTGCAAGACTACCCCTCCTTCACTGGAGGAGCTGCCGCTGCTGCTGGACTGGTGGGATGAGGCCGCTGATGTGGGCCTGGCAGGACGAACCCGTTCCTGCGGGCCAGTGGGGGTTTGGGCACGTATGCCATTCGTTTTACTACCTCTGTGAAAGAGGCTTTAGCAGCAGGAGCCTCCGTAGAGGCTTCCTTTCTCTCAGGGGTAGGGGATGGTGTAGTCGGCTCCGAAGAAACAACAGAGGTGCTGCGAGGTATAGCAGGGGGTGTGCGGCGGCGGGGGGACGACTTTACCTGAAGGGCTTCAATTTCCTCTCCTTGCCTGCCAACAATATCGGTCAGTGCTTTTACTGCTCGTTCCAAAACATGAACTCGACTCCAGTAGTTTATCCCGTTCCTTGGACCATCGTCGTCAAAGGTGGGACCACTGTTCATCCAAGTCCATACATCTTGTACTGTATCGTCCTCAATTGACCCAGACTCCGAGGAGAGGAGGGGTTGAGTATTACCAGACCGGATATCCTCCAGGCCTTCTAACATGGATCCGATTATACTCCCTGAGCGGGGTCCAGGCGAGGGGGTCTTACCAGCATCTAGCATCTCACAGACACCTGCCATGATTGAGTCCGCCTGGGCCACTACCATGTCGGCGTCCTCAAATTGGGTTTCTGGGAGCTGGACTTCCAATGGGGTTGAATCACCACTGGGGGTTTCCAAGGGGCCCTCCAGTTGGCTTCCTGGAGGTGACATCCATCGTCCAGTAACAGGTGGAGGTGACGACTCCATGGCTGGTGAAGGGGCGTGTACGCTGTCGCCCAAACAGGTCGCTTCCGAGTTGCGTCCCTTATCCAGTTCCATAGGGGTGTCCCTGGCCAGTACCTCAGAGGTGGGTAGGATATCCTCAGTCATTAGAGGGGATGGAGAAGGGGGTGTGGCTTCAATCGTTGATGGGAGCATCACAGGTAGGGGGATGGCCAGACGCCCATGGTGAACACCCAGGGGTAGGCCGGGAAGAGCGGGGACAATCTGTTTTTTCCGTCCCTCATCAACATTGATAGCCCTTAAAAATTGGGGACCAAAGAGAGGAGCAGCAGATCGCTTAATGGGAGATGCCGTACCGTGTCCGGCGGCGCGTTCCAGAGGCAGGAGGGTTGTAATCCTCGTCATCAGGGTCGTCCATTTTGAACTTCGGGGTTTCGTAAAGAGCCCTTTCGCCTGAAGACATTCCTGCCAGAAAGGAGGGAGTCGAGGAGCAGGCCCTGGTATTATGGGCCTGGCGGAAGAAGCTGGGCATCTTGCTTTGGACAGCCCTAGCGAGGGGAGGAGTAGTGGACCAAGAGCTGGCCTCAACCGTGGCAGCAGTCGAGTCGTCCTTGGCGGGGGGGATGGAGGATTCAGGGACTACAGCCTGAGAATCTTTTGGAGGGGAAGGTGCGGGGGCTGGAGAGTATTCCGAGCCATGGTCCGAATTGAACCGAACGAAGAGTCCCGTGGTAGTGTCCTTGTTCAAGCCACACGTGGCTGAACAGCCTCTCCCGATCAGGAAACCTTTTACCAAAACCTCCACCTCTTTCATCGTGGCAACGGTCGCGTCAGCGACCGTTTGCCGAACCAAATCGTCAAACTGCGGGTTAACCGTGTTCTGACACCCGTGGCAGTGGTGGAACTGTAAAAACTTAAAGTTTCCCCAGGGTGCAACATAAGACCGTGTAGTTGTAGGGACGAGGCCACGGTCAGCCTCAGTAGCAGGCGCAAGAGACAGGGCCGCACGGGCTGTCTCAAGCGAGGAGGAGGGGTTGGAGTCGAACCGGACGGGGGACGACATCCTCGAAGGGGGGAGAGAATCCGTGGAGGAGGAGGCTGTCAAAGACGCCATCCTCACCCAAACTATACTCAGTGATTACCAGGACCAGGCCACGGATATCTCACACTGAAGTATCTTCTAAGAGAGAACAACTTCTAACCGACCGCCCAAAACGAAAAACACAAACAAGTAACAGTAGATGAAGTATTTATCGCGAGCGAAATAAGGTAAAGTATTGGTTATGCTCACTTCCGACACGGAGTGCAAGAAGTAGGAAAAGTACTTAGAACAAAGCATGAAGAACCTATCCTTCTAGGCCGCATCGGCCTCCTTATATAGTATTCTTTCCGCCCATAGTCATGTGACCTAAAGTGGTCACATGTGCGAAACCAAATCATAACAACCTAGTCATGTGACCAAAGTAATCACATGCTCAAAACCCATGACCTCATAGCGAGATCATGTACAAAAACTCATAAACCAATCATAATATAATAAACGAGTCATATGACTTGACTGAGTCATATGTGCGAAACCCATGACCCCATAATGAGGTCATGAGTGAAACATAAATCATATGCGCAAGGCTTACCTGCAAGGCACACTTGCGAGGCATACTCACCAGGCACATGTCCCATGACTCATATTTGAGCCATGTGCGAAAGCATCACAAATCCCACACATAACAAATCATATGACCCGAATGAGTCATATGTATAAAACAATAACATACCTGTGACTCATAACCATGCGTCACGTGAAAACCTCTTTCATGCCAAGCCACATTCGTGACAAGAGGCCATCACTCATTGTTGAGAACTTCTTAACCCAAAGGTTTCTGATACTTTAGCTGGATCAATGGTGGATAGAATAGAGGCAATTATTAAGAGTGATAGATGGTATATCAAATATTAATTTCTACTATGTATTTACATATTTTTAATTTTAATTTTTTTGGTTTTCATGATAGTGGATTGGTGGGTGAGTGTGGTTGTCATCGGCGAAGATTTTCCTCTGTTGAATCGCTGTTAACTTTGCCCATGCTGTAACGTGTTCGAAGGGTGCTAATTACGTTATCGGTAATAGATACGATAGTTGGCAGGTGGCCTGCTCTACCAGAGAGGAGGTGAGAGCTGATAACTAAAGGAGGCTTCGAGGGTGTACTGGGGAACAAAGAAGTAACCGTTCAACCAAGTATATTGAAATACTGTCTGTCGAAGTCTGCCTTTTCTATCATAGAAACAGGCGGTCTTTAAATACACAAATCTGTTCATGTCTAGCATGAACGAAACTAATCAAAGGTATTAATCGATACACTTTGGTAAAACTCCTTAAGTATCAAAGCGATACTTAAAACAAAACATAAAACAAAACCAAGTATCAAACGATACTTAAAACAAACCAAGTATCAAAGCGATACTTAAAACAAAACATAAAACAAAACTAAGTATCAAACGATACTTAAAACAAACCAAGTATCAAAGCGATACTTAAAACAAAACATAAAACAAAACTAAGTATCAAACGATACTTAAAACAAACCAAGTATCAAAGCGATACTTAAAACAAAACATAAAACAAAACCAATAACTGAGTACCCATACCGGTTACACACGCACAATGCTTCGGCTGTCACCTCTACTTTCTCTGCCCCCCTACTGCCTTCCTAGAAAATAAGATTTTAACTAAAGACACACCTTGGTGTCCTGAATCTCAGTTACTTAGATCCGAATACCTTGCTGTCTTGTATAAATTATTGTGACCTCTGGGTTTCTCTCCTCCAAAGCTTGACTAATTGTTATACAGTTTTCGTTGCGCCAGACAGATTCTTCAGATATTTGCTGTCCGGGATAGTGAGACAAAACAGTGCTCAATTTCTGGCCAGTAACTTTCTGAAAATCCTGAATCCTATCTTGAGTTTTTCAGGTTCACATACGTAGTGTTTTTTTCCACTTGGAAATTAATTCTTTCCACTCCCTACCACACATTTAATACTCGATTGTTTTTTTCTTTTTCATAGAACATTTATCAGGAAAGTGGAAGTGGTTTTTATGGATATTGCGGGTTTGGTCATTGGAAGTGTTGGGATAGTAAGTGTTTATGAGATACTATGCCTCATAATTCTTATAGACTCGGATGCTAATGGCTATAGGTGGGAGGAGTTTATCACGGTTTCAAAAGAGGTAAACAGCTCTTATTGAATCATAGAGCTTATGCCAAAGAGCTTGGTGATTTCAATAAAAGACTTGAAGCCGAGATATTCTTTTATGAGGATATCAGTACTCGAGCATTTTCTCTCCTCAATGTGGAGAAGTCTCTTGCCGTGGACATGCTTAATGATGAGGATCATGCACATTGGGGTGATGCTAATTTTTTGAAACTGTCTGCTGAGATTCTGAGCCCACACTTTGGAAAAATCGAGAAAATTTTATCCAAATTACGGGTGGAGGGAGAAGAAGAAACAAGGCTTGATTCTTCGAGCCAATTTGAGGTATGTATGCCAGCTGGCATATGATTATTTTGACCTTATATATTGTATATTATTAATGAGCTAATTAGGTTAGGGCACTTCGGCTATGACAGGTAAAAAGATCAAATATGGCCTCCATTGAAAAAAAGGCTCGAGAGACTATTGGGTCAACTTCAAACCCAAAATAGAATCCTAAAAATGATTGTTGATCACAGAGCAGACAATCAACTCAGGAGTATTAGGGACAGACAAGATAATCAAAAGTTAATCTTGGCAAGGTTACTGGGTATTCGAGAGCAGTCGAGAATACTCTATGAGAGCTTAGCGGATATGCCCTCTTGTGAGTGCCATCGTATGGGATTTCAACTTCTGATGGAGAATAGTGGGAAATCAAGAAGCGCTGGTGTTCCGGCTGTCTTACAGAACCTAAGGTTCTCCTTAATTGTTATTAATACAATAGAGGAAGATTCTAGTACTCTGCTTTCAAGAAAGTGTACAGGTACACGATTAGTTGTTACTTCTGAACTCGAACCTAATGGAAGTGATGAAGTTATCAAGCAATTGAAGAACTTGATGGCTGTCAAGCCTCGGCAAGATGATAGGCAACCACAAAAGCGGATATGGTTTCCTGATGATCAAGTGATTGATACCTCATCGGATTGGGCTCTTGTTACCATTCCAGATGGTATTAGTTCAAGTGAGACAACGGTACTAGATTTGCTGCCAGGTGTAAAGACAGGGCAATCAAAGGCTACTTCTGGTAATGGGGACTCACAACTAGAGGTATCAGGATCAAAATCGGAGTCAAGATCTGAGGCAGGATTTGAGTCTAGATTTGAATCTGAGTCCCAATTGAGGTCAGAACGCCAGTCTGGATCTGAGTCAGAGTCAGAATCCGGGTCGGCATCAGAGTTAGCTGAGGAAGCAGATGATAATTCACAACAGTCAATATTATCATCTGATATTCCAGTTGTTAACAGTCTATGCTCTCTGGTAGAAAATCTTGCTGAAGAAGATCTGATAGACCGTTGTATTGGACAAGTCAGAAGCATTGACACAACCTACCGCCGTTACTTGATATATCAAATTCCGCCAAAGCCGTTACAGACTGTGTGCAAGTCTTTGGAAACCATTCTTGAGGAAGGTGGTATCTTCACTGATGACCGACTACGTATTAGTACTATTCTCTCAAAGTCCCTTCTACAACTTGGCTCCTATCCAAGATCATTTTTTCCAGAGCATTGGAGAGGCTGTGATATATTCTTTTCCCCGGAATCGGAGAATCAGGACGTTTTCAGCAAACCTTATATTATAACCTCTAAGTTTGTGAAAGATGCAGGGCACAAGCACACAATCTCACATAAAATCGAAACCGCTCTTTTGGCTAGCAATCACCCTTCTGGAGATTGGGATGGGAAAGCCACTTTGGAAGATTGTTAAGACGATTAGGTATGACAGTAGGTCCGAAGTAAAAAGGCAATCTATGAGGGCAAATGTTGGTATGTATGGTGAGGTGACAGATATGACAACTATCTTGGATTCCGGAGTCCTGGAAAAGGAAATGGGATTTGAGTTTTTCCAAGTTGTGAAGAGATGCTTTTCCTGTGATTTTCAAATCCGCGAGTATGACTTTTCCAAAAGAGAGTTACAGGAAGCATTCTACTACAATGTGGTAGTTCCACTAGAGCTTTGTTTGACAAGGCATTTAAAGGGGAACCTTTTGTAGAGGGAGACTCAGATAATTTCTATACTTTAAAGTCACTCGTCTGGAGTATATTTTTTTTACGGTGGTCTTCTTTGTATTTGCAGTTATCAGATTTTCTCATATCATACCTCCTAAACAGGTTGCTCTTATCTGTGATTGGTTTACGATACTGCTTTCTGTATAGCAGACGATTGCTATTTTCTTTTCCTTTTCCTTTTTTTTGCGGGGCCCACTGGTCAGGAATTCTTTTCTTTATAGAAATAATTTCTCATCGTTCGAAGTGGTAGTATTATTTCTTTCCAACTCACTACCCAATGCAGTGGAATCTTTTTTTTTCTTCCCCGGACTATATCTTTTCTCCCAGAGTGGCTTTGTTGGCGCTAGTACGATACCTCTCTTCTCTCCTAGATCAGTTTGGTGAGGAATTTTCTCTAATTGCTCCTTTTTTCGTTTGGATAGTACTAGTAGTAAAACTGAACTTCAATTGTTTGTAAAGGAAATAGAAACGGCTGAAAGTTGAGCATCTGAACTTGAATTTTTTCTTGAATGTGAAAAGGAATCAGAATGGACGTAATTGGGAATGCAAGAGTGTGTTGGTACTACTTGAGTATTGTACTATGATATACGTTATGGACCTTCCGAATCATATAGAGCAGGTTTTCCGGTTTTTAGAGTATTTAAATTTTTGATTTCAATCCAGAGCAGGCATATTAACATTACTGATGCAGAGGATGTGGGTTTTCTGACTGCGGAAGTGGTTTTTCCAGATTTTACCTTGTCAAATTTTCTGTTCGGCAGCGGCTTGGCATGTGGAAATTTTCACATACTCGTACCGGTATAAGCCCTGCTCTATCTTCTCCAGAGGTCATCGTGCATCGACAAGACAAACACAGGACAGCAGGAAATTGGGTGACATTTCTATTCCATCTCAACGGGGTATGTATGGTTTAATCTCTTCATTCATAGTCATGTTATCTAGTCTTCTTTCCTGTCAATCTTCTGCATTTTATCTTACAGTATATGCAGGTCACAGAGCCAGTCAAAGTCTGCAAGCGCAAGCCTGGCCGAGCGCACAATCTGGGAAAGGAAGTCCTTTATTACCTTCCATACCGTCAGCAGCTCAAGTGCGGCAATAGCCTAAAGTAACTGGCATGTTTTTCCCCCTCATTGTGCTTTTTTTCTTGCTTTTTCTTCCTACCCATACACTACTAACAATGTTTTCACAACTAGACAGATTTCTTTCCAACCGCTCCTGCGCTACTACAAAGTGCGTTCTTTCCCGCCCTGCCCCCTTAACGCTCCTCAAAGGAACCCAATCAACTAAACTCACAATAATTAGTCCTTTCATTTTTTTGTTCGTTGTCCTTCTACAAGTGCCATACGCTTGTACTTCGACAGCCTCTGCCTCCCCTTTCAGAAGTGGATTCAACCTTTGCCGACCCCCTGGTACAAGCTTTGGAAGTGCATTCTCAACCGGTCATCCTGGTATTTCCCCTCCTCCTGATTCTGCCCCACCATAAACTAACATTGCACGGATAGCCCCTCGTGTCAGTATCTTCTACCCAGCTATCCCAACTAAAATCTAAAGAATCTATCTAACACAGCGAGCGATCTAGGACAACGGGTCCGGCTTTAGTGGAAAGAACTTCAGAGTTCGCAGAGATTCGCACGGGGCAGCGACAACGTACCCTGACCATCGAGGCCCGGGGCCGTGGGGTCTGACTATATATCTCTTTAAGTTTACCCTTGTTCCCGGAGTCTCCCCGGCAGCTCTTATAAGTACTAAGACTTGTCTTCGCCCTTGGGACTATTTACCATACTGATTCAAATAATAGAAAAAGATATTACTACTTATCCTCTCGTCCTAACCGCACTGCTATACATGGTCACAACTTGGAAACTCTATCTACGGCCTAGCCCTTCCACCTCCCTGCCCGCCTTGTCGCCCTCAAAACCCTTTGTTCTAGCTTCTACTAGTTACTTATTTCTTGTCCATTTGCAGTTTAATCTTGATTGCTGAGGCCCTGCGTCCAGAACTCATTATTAAATTGGGTTATTCGATCTGAGCCCCCGCAGCCAGTGAGGATAATCTGTCTGTGTAATGGATTTGGGTGCGAGTAATTGTACAACTCGAATAAAAGGTGGTGGAAGGATGCAGCAGGAGATGGCCACGATTGCGGGCCCGCAAGCTTTGGAGGAGTCTCCCTTTATGCCTACTTCAAGTGGACTCACTGTGGAAGCTTTTTTTTGGAATGAATCGAAAGGCAGAACATATCCAGCAATGTAAGGCTATTGACGAATTGGTTAAGAAGATACCAGTCACCCTTTCCGAGCTCCCAGAACTTATCTCTTCAAATAAGGGTACAAGACCACAAAAACCAAAGCCTGTAGTCCATGACGCATTAAGGAGCTACTGGAAAATGCCAGTAATTTCAGCAAAGATTACTTGGGAATCCTTACTAGCCCAGCAGTCAGTCCGCAATACAGGCGAGCTCTCACTTGAAGAAGAGGGGGCGGCTATATGTTTAGATGAGAGTGTGGTTGTGCTTTCAAGGGAGGATATCGCAGAGGTACAGCCGGAGCAGTTGGTTGTTTTTTTGGAAACGGGGTTTAGAAGTACCCTTTGGGAGTCGAAAGGGAGATGGGGTCCTTTTGCAGCTTGAACAAGGTATTCAAAATCTAGGAGAGAAATATCCACCGCCTCCACCGAAACCGCATGACGTCCGGCACAAAGCAGCGTTCAGGGAATTAAAGAAGAAACATGGAGTGTCACTTGGCGTCTATTACTTTGCGTGGTGGTTTGCTACAGGACAAGAAAATGCTAGTGATCCAGGATTATCAGCGCATATCTTAGCCACATCATACAAGCACGAGGAGGTACGGAAGTTTTTACGAATCACAGGTACTTTACAACAGATCATTGGTATTCTCTTTCTGGCAACAGATCCGCCTGGCTATTCTACCTATTTAAGCAATTTTCGCATAACAGCTGCTGCCACAGCCTGGGATATTTTTGCATCGAGCCGCAGGTCATGCTTTCATGGCTTAGCTCTTTTGAGAAATTTGAGAGTTGGGCGTCATAAGGATGGTAGGGATAGGAAGAATGGATGGACAGTCATAGTTTGTGTGGGAAAGTTTGAAAATGGATATTTGGTGATACCAAGGTTGGGTCTTAAGTTCAAGTTTGAACCTGGTGATGTAATCTTTTTCAGGGCGTCCTTTCTGGAGCATTTTCTTGAGGAGTTCGCGGGTCAGAGGTCTTGTTTCGTATTTTCACACATGCTGCAGTTGCGGAGGCAATTGAACAGAACAGATTCCAAACTGACAAACGACAAGCTGCTTCTAACAAGAGGAGGGCAGAACATATATCATAATAGGTCCTAAATAGACTGGTCACTGTATTTAGGTTATAGGACAATTTTCATCAATCTTCTTGTCCGAGACAAAATTTGTTTTTAGTATAAAAACTTACCCGGCGCGCTTGATAACATATTCTCAGCGAGGCCCTCTATCTTTTATACTTCGTTCGATAAATAATGGACTGTTCATTCTCCGTTCCGGAAGCGACCGTTCAGCCGCCGTGAACGGTGGCTCAAGATCTTGTCTCCTCGATTGAAAGCTATTCGGTTAAGTTGACCGTTTGACACTATTTTCTGGGTGTTGGAGCCGAGGAATTGTTGTCAAAATTTACTAATGGCAGATGGAACGGACTGTCTGAGGACCCTCTCACTTTCAACCGTTCGCACCTTGTTTTGGCGAAGAGATTCATGTTAACCAAAAATCTAATCTCCTTCACGAAAGGTACCGTTGGGGGGGATGGCTGAACCTTATTAATTCCCTACACGAACGAATCGTTCAGTAGTTGGCTCAACCGAGCCTAACTCTTCCCCATACTTGGTTCTTGGGCTCTGGGTATGGGGGTGTCCCAACTTTCACCTTCCCGGAAAGTGGCAGAAACGGTACCCGACACTCCGGGCAAACCGAATAGCGCTAATGGCCACATAATTAGCCCTCAGGCCCTGGATTAATTGTGCTCGTGGCTCTATGAGCTAAAACGTTGGTTGCTGGAAATTGAATTGGGCAATGCTTCTTAAAAGTTTTATCATATTTGAAACACGGAAAGCGATTTTAGTGGAGAAAATCCGATCATAGCCAACAAGACTCCAGCACAATCCGCTATGCTCCCCGGAATCTGCTCCAGCATCTCCGTGTCCATCTCTAGTTGGAAACTAACTTACAGGAACTGTCACTTTGAATAGTGATGGGCACGAACATGGTCGATTCCACTTCTAGAATGAAACAAATTTCTTCAGACTCAGCCATTCCGAAGACTACCAAGGAAGCCAGTCGCTGACCCAGAGTCATCTGAGCTTGCGCTAGTCTTAAAACTTGCTTGCCCAACCAGAAATTACCTAACTAACCCGACTGATCTCTTGAGCTTTGGTTTGAAATTTTAGTAATGGTTCAAAGGGTGGTAATTACTAGTTTGAGCTCGCGGAATTATAAATACCTTATTTATCAGTAGTAGAAAGGTACGGGTGGGGGGCTTGTCTTAGATGGTTTGAGCGAACCTAAGCTCAAGAGGGTTAAAAAATCATGATCTATCACTCGTTCCGAATCTTCTAAGCGTTAGTGAGGACTCCATAACCTCTAAACGCGTAGGAGTACGACAGGTGAATAAAACCACCCAGTGTTTTTTATTTTTATTATTAAAGTTTTTCCCCCTTGTGTTGAGTGGACCCAAGGGGTTCGTTGGGTAAATCAGGATTCTGATTCATTGGGCTTGAATGGGGTTAGGTCTCACCTTTTCGGCGCAGGTCAACTCATGGGTTGGGAGATGATGGGGTCGGGGACCTCGTGATAGATTTGCTCTCCAAGTGAAGTATGAGGAAGAGTTAACAATAGAGAGTCTTTTTGAAAATAAGTTATCAAGTTTGCAGGGTAGATGATATATATTTATGCTACTTGATAATATATTCCATGGGAACCTCACATCACCGAACGATACTCTGGATTGAGAAAACTGGCCGGATCGTGGTGCGACCTGAATTCCAATAAGCAGTTACCAACAAGCACTCAAGTATTCCATTCGCCGCAGTAGTATGTTAATGCCTGTGTGGCTAGGGCAACTATTGTACATGTGACCGAATATCGCATTGTTGGATTGTGACAGTATAAAGGGGTGGAGTATCATAATAATTTTGTCAGACTTTTTGATATTATCGAGAAGTACAGCCACTTGTCATAAGTGTTCGTGATCTGAGACCTGTTTAATTAGCGATGGCACCATACCATGGTAGGGTACCGTGGTGGGGTTGCAACCGGTGATCGTGAACATGAATGATCAACCATAGTGAACAATCAATCAACTGATCAACCACAATACCCCATAATAAATTGTATAATAGAAATAGAAATAATACTAGCTAGTACTTTGTATATCCTCCCCTTGCCTCCAAAACAGCAGCTACCCTATCTGGCATTGATTTCTACAACTTTTCAAAAAACTCCTCAGGAATTGTCTCCCAAACCAGTGGTAATACATGTGCAAGCCTCCTCTTCACAGCTTCTTTCCCTCCTAGGGTATCTCCAATTCTTGGATATTGCTGGTATAATCGCTTTTTAAGCTCAACCCATACATGCTTAATAGGATTCAAATTAGGGGAATATGGGGGGTGCTCCTCAACCTGAATACAATTTCTCTCAAGCCAATCCATGACACTATATGCCTTATGAACAGGAGCATTATCCTGCTGAAAAAGAATATCTTCAAGTTGTATACCCAAAGAAACTATTTGATGAATAACGGGAAAAAGATGTCTTCTTAAAAGTCTAATATACCTGGTCTTATTAATATTTTAAGTAATAGGAACTAAAGGACCTTTACTTTTACCCCAAAAGTACCCCCAAACCATGAGTGAAATTCCCTTATCCTTCTCTTTTGGATGAATACACTCAGCCCACTACTTCTCTCCAGACTCTCTGAAAACACATTGTTGCCTTGGATTCTTAGATTTCTCCACACTGCATTCTTGTTAGGCGGAGACAACTTGATAGACTTCAAAGTTGTATAGGCCAATCGAGATTCGTTTCTGTAGACGGAGATTGTCTAGGAAGGCTCAGACTTTGCTCGTTTCGTTTATAACTACTAGGAGTGAAGTAAAATAGGTAAAGTAGGGTAGAATCGTAAAAACAATATTATATTGTTAAGGTCTCTTCTCCGTTGCTTGATGATGTCTAAAGCTTGAGAGGCACTTCAATATTTATATTCTGCGTCTGAGTGTTCGCGGACTACATCTATCTATTATACAACTATGTACTTCTTCAATCGTAATTCGCAATGTCGAGTTTTCTTCCAAGGTGCGAACACCTGTGGACCCTGAAAACCGTCACATCCTCTTCGGTAATTATGATATTTTTTCTTAAGAAATGTACTGTCCCCAATAGTAATATCCCAATTATTAGAGTCTTTAGACTTATGGCCTAGTTCTTAAGTTGAACTGAGTTGGTTCCAATTGTCTTCGCCATTGATAAAATGATCAGTCTTATCCACAGCTATATCTGCAAAGATGGTCGTCATTACAACCATCGTAGGTCATTTGACTCTGATCCTTTGTAACTCCATACCCAACTGATAGATTTTCTTTAGATGACTTCCTATTAACTCGCAGGAAGCCACTCCACTAGACTGGTAATTAATCCCTCGGTCGGCAACCCTTGGTTGCTCTCTGGGTAGTAGGTTTCAGTAACCATTGTAGTATTGAGAATCACCCCATGACTACGACATGTTCCGAAACCCAGTTGCAACACTCCGTGAAGTTCGTTGGCTTCTTTGGTAGTGTCTTTTGGAGTTCTAGACTCTTCTGGTGTATGTAAATGTATGGGTCTCTAGTAGAGATTCTTTACCATTTGATACCATCTCTTTGTGCGAAATCGTCCCGTTACTTATGGCCCATGCCAAAGGTGTCATGTCTTTGAAGCCAAGTAACTCTCTGAGTAGTTGACAGAATTACTCTGTTCCACTTCCCAGGCCTAGCTGAAGGTCCTCTCTCATATATCCTGCGAACAGGATCCGGTCGGACGGATGGCAATGACATATATGGTGTTATTCTAACACCTTCAATTCTGTGGTAATATAGTCACAGGATGCAACTGAGATTGATATATATGATGACGCGTGGGCCCCGTAAGGGAGCCGGAGGGGGGTGTTGGAGATCAGAGATTCTGATTCCAAGTGGGGTTACCCTACTTATGGTGGTTCCTAGGTATCGGGTTCTGGTATTCCTAATAATTCTTTACTCTAAAT